ATAGAAGTAATATACTTATTTAAACATATACATATATAAACTAACAAATTAGGTATTTGAAAAATATATAAAGTAAATAAAAAGTTGCGGACGAAACAGTATTGAAAAATGTATAATTTTTCTATAATCAACTTTCTGGCTGCTGCTCATAAGTACCTACAAAATTGGAATGAACAGAATTTATCGAAAACTATTATTCTATAATACTATTATGTTAAACTGGGTTGTTAGATCACAAGGGAACGCGGTATCTGAAGAACTTAATTTAATCATCGGGCGCAGGCACGGTTATATCGATATTCTCGTTAAATTTTCAACGACCTTTTACAGCTGCAGCTTTCGGTCTAAGGGTAGTCGGCGGTAAAACAGGGACTGATGGACGTACTTTTGCATACGTGATGTGGACCGTGCCAGATGGACCAGCGGCGAAGGCCGGTGTGCAACGCGGCGACAAGGTAAAAAGATCTCATGTATTTTCCCTTCGGGTTAACGTGTTCGCTTAAATTTGCAAAATTAAACGATCGTGTCTTCCGGAACGGTCCTTTTTACTCTTTTAGATCACCCTTCAATTCCAGGCAAATAAACGTTTGGAATTAAAGAGGCTAGACTTACTATCAGGGCAAGAAGTGTCAATGTTACTCACTAAATTCGTTATAATAAACAAGAGATACGAGTTAACGCTATTCGGACTTTCAATTTATATGTATTAATACTGAATCTACCAAGCACCGGTTTCTAAATGTTTTTATAAGAAATGAAAAGAAAACGAAATTTGTTTGCTCATATTACTAAAATTATTTAAGGTCAGGTCAATATTACTCACTAAATTGGCTATAAATAAGGGATAAGAATTTATGACATTCGGTTTTTAATCCTGATAGTAACACTGAACCTACCATGCACCGGTTTCTAAATAACTAAATTGGCTATAAATAAGGGATAAGAATTTATGACATTCGGTTTTTAATCCTGATAGTAACACTGAACCTACCATGCACCGGTTTCTAAATCCTTTTATAACAAAATAAAAATAAAACGAAATTTGTTGGCTCATATTACTAAACTTATTTAAGTCGATACCAAAATGAACTATCAATGCCAACAGTAAATTCTACTCAAATGCAAAAAATAGAAGTATAGCATGTTAGTATACAAAAACTGTCGGTACGTTTAATATCAAATAATTCTCGAGTGGTTGAGTACCTCTTCGAAAATCTAGGGCTATCTGATAATTATTTAATAAGATTATAACAATTTCCAATAATACAAGTATTACCAAGTAAAGTTCGTAGTTACAATGCCTTGGAATCAACTACTTTAATGCTAAAGAAAGATTATTTTGAATGAACTGAATATCAGGGCGCTCTCGATTTTATTTTCTCCTCTCCGAATAGATACTTGTTGATCTGAGAATCTTTTAACATAAAAACAGAATATCGAATGGCGCATATTTTGTTTCTGTCGTCTTATGAATAAAACAGAGTGAATAATGAATCAATAAGAAATGTGAATACCGACAAATGTTAGGAAAATCCTCAGCCCCTTAATATATTACAAATAACGTTTTCTTTAATCTTCCACACGTCACCATATCGAACATATCGAATCACATATAAAAATGAGAAGCTATCGTCAAAATCGAAAAGGATAAAAAACGAATTGCTACGGACGAAGTGGACAAAAATGTTTAATAGCGGTTTAAATCTGAAGGGATATAAAGAAGACGTCCCTGCGGCAGCGCGTGTCCAATTGTTGAGCAGGTAACGTTATTGTACGCGGTTAATGCGTGCGAGTATCGACAACCATTCTCTCCAGCTGTGATTTTAATTAAGTTATCGACAGCTACGCGCAGCAAAATCCTGGCACAATCGTGAACAACCGTAACGCCTGTACCACGCGGAATCGCACGAATTTATTGACGTATGGTCGTTTGATTTGATATTCTAAAAGTAATTTCGCACGTTACGAATAGAAATTAGCTTTCGCTAGAGCACCGAAATTACCTATTATCTTCTAATAAACTACCCTCGCCGATGCAGTTTCCTGTGAAGCGCACCGTGTTCATATTTCTACTTTACGCGAGACATACTAGAAATTGCATAAATTACGCAGTTTTTATAAAATACAAAATTGAAGGAGGGAAGTGTGTTAACGAAGCCGAGACCCGATCTCCTTGCGTAGAAAACTTATTCTTAATTTAGTCCCTGTTCTTTTTAAGGTTTGCAGAATTAAATTGAATAAAACATCGAGCGTTTCTCTTATTTTCCTTTCTCGCTTTCGAGAATAGCACGTAAACTTGTTTCGCCTCTCCTACGTATTCCGCAAATTTATTTCTTGCCCTGCGATCGTTAAAGGAAATTACAGTGATACTCGACAAACCGAAACCCTGTACCTCGACGAATCGCCCACCGGGCAAATAACTACAATAACCTCTGACGTCGAATCAATATCCATGCGAACTACGAAATCCTTTTTTTTTTATCGGATAGTTTTTTATATAAAAATGTACAACCTGTGATTGTCATAGAATCCGACAGTCGTTGAATAATAAAATACGAAGTCATTTAAAATAGATGATTGCACTTTATTTCTCGATTCGACGTGGACATGAAAACTATGCATATGGGATGAAATGTTTCATTTCTGCGATATGCAGAGTGCAGGAATTTAAAAAATCTGACTTTCATGTTTCCTCCTTTTAACATTTCTCGGATTTAATATATTCGAAATTATTAATTCTATTATTATTTCTAACTAGAGTCAGGTATTGTCATTATATAAAATGACGAAAAAAATAATATAAGTTAGTATAAAAAAGGAAGATTTTATGTGATTGAAGTAAATTAGTTGAATCTCGTGAATCCATTTACGACACAGTTTAAACGAGATAATCAGGTGAACAATTGCACTGTCAGTTTTAATTAAACTGAAAATGGAACTAGCTTATGAGGGAGTAAAACGGTTTGGGAAACGATTACAATTTTTCTTCGTTGGGAGGCGAGTGCAAAATCTCGGCGCAATGAATACGAAGAAGTTCTGCGGTTGATTCTCATTCAAATTTATTAAACCAATTAAAGGGCTTCTAAGATTCAAGGAGTTCGCATTCAACAGATGCGATCAGTTCCGCGGCTCGAATTACGCCCGACCGGTCGCTGAACTTTCCCATAATTCTTCCGACGCATCTGCATCTTTTATCCGAGAAACAAATTATCCTCCGCTTCTCGCCCAAAGAGCTCGTTTATACGATGACTCCCGGCATAAATCATACGCGAGCTTTCAACTTCTCCCGTTTTTAGTACCTCGCCTTTTAACACCGAAAGTACCAAAGCGATCAACACGAACAATTCGTAATTCACTGGAGGTAGCAGTTGCAGTTTACCATTACTGTTGATTCTTCACGTTTGGTTTAACGTGAGGTGCAAAGGTCAATTTATTGATTCCCCAAACGAAGCATAAAACAAAAAAGAGTCAGTTACACATAGAATCAAATAAACCTGTATAAAATACTAAACTAGAATATAGTTTGCTTGTTTTGGAACTTTCCCATTCGACACAATAATATAACGGGTAGTCGTCGCGTTTTGAAAAATGTTGTCACTGCACATCTGCCAAACAGGCGTGAAAAAACCTGAGAAAAGCCAAAAGGCATTTCTGCATACTTGCCAAAATCTTTTTACGACTTAACTTACGACTCAGTTGCTGCGTACCTGACGAACTGTTTTACGACTCAACAATTACTAAGTAGTTCATCTTAACATGTGTGAAATGTTTTCTACGCACGTTCTTGAGAAACTGTGTTGTAGCTTTGTAGCTGAGTTTTCAAAAGAAATTCCTCGACTTCAATTTCTTGACACTTTGAGCTAGAAACCTTTTAAGCGATGAGCAGTTCCGTTTAGAAAAGCCGATTTTGCTTTGCTTGCGGCGAAATGAGGAACGTTCAATGTACTTAGTAAACTCGACTGGGACTTGATCGAAGAAAACTAAAGAAACTCGGAGAAACGTAAAAGCTTTGGCGATACTGTGGTCGTCGTATTATTCCCGAGAAGTGGACGACTAACTACATAAATCAATGTGCTAACTTGAATATTTATTAGATTTTCATACAGAATTAATTGTTTATAATACTCAAAATAAAATCTCTAAAGAATCCT